TGACCTTTCAGCAAAGCCTGGCTAACAATACAGAAGTTACAATGACACAGCGTACTCATGTTACTGTATCCAATAACATAAAACTGACCTTTTGTCTTTACAGTCATACTTCAATTATTATACATTATACACGTATATAGATTATTATTAAAATATATATACAGTTGAATAATCAAAAAAATCATAAATTACTATATCGATACCACAGAATTTATAATTTATCAAGCTTAGTAACTAAACTGTATTTCAGTCTAAAAAATATGATATTTTGAGCAGACTAAAGACACAACCTAACTCCTTGAAATCTTGGTTCGGAAGAATGAGATGGTGTCCTAAAACTTTAAAATGGTTGAGAAAACCACTAGGGGAACATTCTGAGCTTTCGATTGGTTATTCACATGTCATATACAGAAGTATGTATATATAAGGAACCATTTCCAAAAATAGAAAAAGGTGAGCAAGGAAACTGCATTTCATGCAGTAAAAGAGCGATATCTCAGCAAATAGAAAGGATAAGAGGTTCTTATTTTATATTCTAGCTTATCAATATTGGTAATATCTTTAGTTACAGAGACATTCCCACCTGAACCATCCTCTATTTTGCAAATTTCAATAGTTCTCTCTGATGTTTAATACTATATTATTTGTAACCAATAGAAAGCCAAAGTTTCAATCTATCAAATAACATAAGTTATGTTGTGTCATAATAGAATAGAAAAAAGCGTAATTTACACCCATTTCCTCTTTTTTTTTTTATGTTACAAGATCAGTCAAATCAACCAAACCAATAGAGATAAAATGTTTTTTTCCAAAAAAGAGGTTTCATAACTATCTAGAGGTTATAGAGATTTTGCATGTGATATTTGACAATTTTCTGATTTATAAAAGTATTTCTAATTTTGAAATCAAAATTACATTGCATGTTGAATAGTCAACATTAAAAAAAATTAAAAAAAATGCACGAGCACCAATCATTAATTAAAAAATTTGATATTTTGTGTACGAGAGCTTCCCAATGTTTACTGATAACCTGCAACATTTTGTGAAGAAACACTTACATTTAAAAAAAGTTATAGTATAACTGGTTTATGGTTAATCTGGAGGATACGGGCTGGTAGTGAAAAGGTTAATACCAAGGATCTTAAAACATAGTTGTAGACTTCTACTTTAAACTATAAGCACACACACATACCTGCAAAATATGCTAATTTTTAGTAAATCTGTAAAATGGCTTAACTACAAAAAGTGGCAACATGCCTTTTTAAGATCTTACGATGAAAAAGGCATAACTGAACTTCAACTACAAATAAAGCATAGTTTTCATTTTGTAAATACATATTTAGTAACTACTGGATATTCCTACTGTAATGTAATGAAATTTCAATAAACATTCCAAAGTGCAAAACAAGTAGTAGTTACACATAAAATAAAGAATAAATTTGTATTTGAAAAGGAAAGGAAACTATGTTAAAATGAGGTTCTTACCTCATCATGTGATCATTATCCATGCACTATACTCATATAACTTGATTAAATTACATTAAAACCTGTAATAGTTGGTTTTACAAAATAAATTATTCAGTATTAAATGAAAAATAATTTAGGATTATAATAACAGTTATCACTTGCCTTTTCTCCCTCTACTACATCAAACTCCACAGTTTCTCCATCACCTACACTTCGTAGGATTTTTTTTGGGTTGTTCTTAACAATGGCAGTCTAAAAAATTAAAATTCAAAAACAAACTTCACAATATATTCTACTTCATCAATACAGTAAGAAAGTAATTTTTCTTTATGAGAAAAAAATAAAATTACAATACCGCTAGTAGAATATTTCCTTTTACCCTTAAAGTCAAAGCTCTAAATAGTTGAAGTACAAGATATTTAAATCTAAACATCTGAAACCACAAGTTGTAAATTTTATTGTTACAGATTTTTTTGTGAAATAAATAGCTGATGATCTTAAACTGAAACCTCTTATTCGTGTTCCAGTTTAAAGAATTCATCTGAACACTCACTTGGGAATAAAATTCAACACTGTATACACAGTAAGTTTTAATAAAATGCAGAAGTTACAATCTTATTAGCTCAAATTATTAAGTTTATGTAATGCAACATGAAATATGTTCCACTGTTTCAAGCATTATCTTTATAAAAAATACAATGATAGAGATATAAATCCAAAAGTCACAGGAGTTTGGTAAAAAGTAGCAAATTAGTCTTCCATTATGTCAAACAATGTTGTCACAATAATAAAATTAATGTTATCTAATTAGAGTGGTTATTACTTAGTCTTTATTGGGTTTTAAACTTTGTATGGTAAAGTTACAAAAATTAATAAAAATATATAGTATATACTGAGGTTATTTTAACTGACTCAAGTTATTTTAGGACTATATGGTCAATACTAATTAATATAAAAATAACATATTATAGTAGAAATCTTTTTAATGTAAAAAAAACTGAAATTACAGTGTTAAACATTGACTTTTAAAAAGTTGATGTTTCTTTTTACAGTGATGGTATGCATCACAGTGAGTAGAATGGAGAAGTTGGTGCTGTTAACACAATAATACTATCTTATGAATTCCTTAATGCTTTTTAAACTTTGCAAGATATGTATGATTATTCAAAAGTTTTATTTTACAAAATAAAATGATGTTATCCAAATTTAGGCTACTTCAAGAATATCCAAAATACTAGTTTTTACTTTTGCTAAGTATGTGTCTGCCTAATAAATAAAAGGTTTTATTATTTGTTTCCTTTGATTGGTTATATCTGCTACCCTTGGAACAGAAATAAAACAATAATGTTAATGAAGTATTTATGAGCAGTAAGCTTCCAAAACTTAATAGCTCCAACATCATTGTAACCACACTCAAAACAATAATGAATTGTCTGGAATAAAATATCTGGAAAAGTATACATAGTGTTGTTGTGACAGATGACTTATAAATAAATCTTTCATCATTATTTGAACATTCAACAATACACAATCTTAACATACATATTTTTTTTAGAAATAGCAAGTATCCCATATACAGCTGCACATGTGTATGGTTTTGGGGTTAGACATTGGGCACCCTAAATGATGCATTACTGCTTGCATGTTAACTTTGTTAATCTGAAATAAAGTTACATCAGAAACTTTGATATATGTTAAAAAGTTAGCATTACAGTTAAAAAGTTTATACAGAATGTTTAAAATAAAATTTTTAAACGTTATAACAACCATGTGTTTTGATAATTAATGAATCCTTGAGTAAATTATGCATTGTGGAAGACATGGCCAAAAGTTAAGCTTTTAGTTGTTAACTTCACCAACAATAATAAATGTGCATTTTTCAAGAAAATTAAACAAATATACCAGATTATGAATCAACAGAAATTTGTGCACATGCATGCTTAAAAAATATATTTCATGTTAAGTCATGATGAGAAACAGAGTAACATATGACATTCCATCCTGTTGTGAATGATAAAAATTGACAGATAGCTTGTGTTGGAAATCTAAAAAAAAGATAATATTATACAAAATGAAAATATTACTCAAAGGAAGTGAAGGAAAGATAACATGCTTCGTTAAAATTGATATACACCCAAGTTATTATTCTAGGTGTTTGTTTGTAATTAAGCACAAAGCTACACAATGGGCTATCTGTGCTGTGCATTGTAAGTCTGAAGATATGCCACTGGAGGGGTGGCAATATTATTTTAGAACCCTAAATGTCTATATTATCTCTATGTTATATCCATACAAACTACTGTAACTGGTATAGAATTTGGCAGCACACCATCATGTTAAACTAAAACTAAATTCTGGTTATTTTTATTGTTTCTGTGACAAATACTATGCATCAACTACATTAATACACTACACATGTGGTATCACACCTAGTTTTACTTCTAACAGTACATCTTTCAGATCATCTAATTACAGTTAGAGGTTACATCCGTGGAATCCTGTCCCAAGATCCCATACACTAATGTGGCTTCCCAAATCCTGGGATTTATATGATAATCTCATAATTTTAGTGATTGTATTAACCCTTTCCAGATTGGAGGGATGTCACTGATATCTCCCAATTCATTTCTTCTCACAATAGCAATATTTAATCAAAGGTGAGTTTAGCAAGTGGGTCTGATTATCTAGTTTATGGCTCCATAAACAAGTAAAATTGGTTATAAATATATGCTTTGCCCGAGTAATATCTTTATACAAACTAAGATCAGAGTTACTATGATGAAAGTTATCTTTCATCTTGCTAAATATTGCTTATCGGCAATATCCACATAAAAATTACTTTTGTTTTGATGAATATAAATATATCTGCTACCCTAGGAACAGAAATAAAACAATAATGTTAATGAAGTATTTATGAGCAGTAAGCTTCCAAAATATACCCACTATTATCATGGACTGCCCTGACTCAAAAAGTTGGAGGAAAAAAGAAAATGCTAACCTCAGAATTCTGTCATAAATGTTTAAAACCAAAAGCCAACTTAATTCACTACCTGTGATCTTACCTGTACAGTAAACTGAAGCTATGTTGTAACTACAATGTGAAGGAAGAAGAAGAAAAGTCAATTTTTGGCAAATGCCAAAGTAACCCATCTTATGTTAATACATTCTAGCAGTATGGCAGCACTTTTACCGAAATCTTCAAGTAAAAATACATCTTACATACAGAAAAATATATTTTCTGATCTAAGAAGTGTTGTCAGTACTTAGAATACTTTACGCTTTCAGTATTTTATATATTTATATATATTTATGTATTATAACATTTGCTTTTTTACTGTGTGTGATTTAAAAATTAACTAAATCTCTTGTAATCACCATGTCAAAAATCATTTGCACAAGGTAAAAAAAAATGTTACTTCAGTCAAAAAAACTAAAGGTTAATGTAGCCTTTAGACTAATGTGTACAAAGACAGATTTATACATCTATATCTCAGGGGAAAACATACAGCAGTTTTTTGCAGCAAATGCTTTTGTTTATTGACTTTAAATACAAGATATTACTTAAATTTTAGTATACGCTTCCCAGTTAAACACAGATTTAAACAACAAATGTTTTAGCCAAAGCCAATCATCTCTCTTAAATAATACAAAACTGATAATGGAATGGAATTTCCTTCAAATAATACACCATAATTGAATCCAACTTGGAGGAGGAAGTAAATATATTTGAAAAAACAATGCTACAATTAGTGCATTTCTGTTACAAGTTATAATTTCCATAATAATATACTTATGAATTAATGATAATTCCAGTACAGAATTATGACTGTGATTTCTGAAAAGAAAAACAAATACCAGTCTTAAAAATTTTCTAAAATTTTTTTTAAACTCATCTCACCTGGTGGACAAAGATGTCTTCATTTGTATCCACCCTGTTAATATAAAATAATTGTTTAATTCTCTTTCATGATAGACAAAAACTTAGGTTTGTATACAATCTTTGATATCATTATGGTACAAGATATATTTGTGAAATATTACCAGTTTTTTGTACACTTCTACACACACCTTTTCACCAATATCCATCACAACCGAGACAAACATAAGGCATCAATACTAACAAATCAATGCCTATACTCTATTTAATTAAAGGTTGGTGGAAAAATATAAATGGCATATTGATTAAAATAAAAACATTTCATATGTGAATATCTGCAATACAAAATAATAACTTAGCACCAGTCTTTATCCTTGCATGTATACAAAGAACCTAAATAAAAACAAAAAATAATAAGTGACTAAATGTATACAACTTTGTAATTCTTTCTTAAAACCTTAAAATGTTGAAATTTTTACTTATATAATTATTAGGCAAGTCTAGAAAAGGTTTTCCAATCACATTTTTTGTATTATACTTGAGCATCACCATCATTTAACTAATACAGTCAAAAATAGCAATTAATCACAGTTGTCACAATAATGAACTTTTAATAATAAATTGACGTGTTGGGGTTGAACAAACTAAGTATGAACCTAATATATGCACACAAAAATAAATATTAAGTAGCTTGAAAATATCTTTAATCACTCATAAACTACTTGAACAAATTATTGAATTTATCAATAGTTCTGAATAGTAAATAAACTATGTATGTTAAAAGAATAAAAAGATGAAAGGTAATTCTGCCTTAAGAATAGTTTTGCATAAGTTAAATTCCAGTTTACTCTTGGCTGTATTAAATAATGACATGCCAAATATTTATATTTTTCTTCAAAAATGATGCTAAAGATCATTTATAATACAATTACAAAAAAACAACTTATCATAAAATCATAGTTTTTATATTGAAAGCTATCAGATGTAAAAATTTTTATGCATGAATATAGGTCAGAGTTTATGACGATTTACATTTTATCTTATTAATCGTGGTTTAACAAGTATTATAAAATTGACGATGTACAAATACAAATGCTATTTCATTTTGCTGAACATAAAATCTTCTACTCCTGGAAAAGAAATTATAATAAAGTAAATCATCAAACAATATTAGTGATAAATTAACACTTCAATAATTTTCATAAAGTATTATATACAGTAAGTATAAAAACAATAAAGATATAAATGCATTTTACAGAATAATTCACATTTTTGACAATTGTATCACCTAGTGTCTAAAAATTTCTCAAGAAATACTTGACTGGACATGTCATTACAAGTTTAATTGTAGTTTTGTAATTATTCTTTTGCACCAAATACTATGAAAAATTTTAACATGTATATATGCATGCACACACGTGTGTGTAAAAGTAAACTTCAGTTGGGTACTCACTCGTGTACCTCAAAACAAGTTTTAGTTCAGTACTTAAAATCAATGATTTTTTCTAAACATGACCAACTTGACTTCAACATTATACTATAGGTTATTTATACTAACCTGTTTATAAAACCGTATCCATTCTTCACATTGAACCATTTCACAGTTCCAGAAACCCGAGTAGCTAAAAAAAAAAGATCACAAGTTTGAAAGTTTTTCTAATCTATACAACAGTTTTAAAATAAAAAAATACTAACATAATAGATGCACCTTATTTGCAACTAACAATACCAATATACTGGATTACATCAAAACATCTAATGTTAATTAACATCATATACACAATCCAATTCAACAAAAACACATGCACTACTTTGGAGAATACAACAATGAAATTAAGAGCCTGTGTAAATCAATAGATGCTTTGCAATAGGTTTAAATAGAAAGGTATCCAAAATTAAATTTCTAGTAAAAATAGATGAGGTAAAAATTAAAGTTTAACTCGTATATAAATATATAGCTTACTAAACAATACAATTTCAAACTACTGGTCACATTTTAAATGTTTTATTTCATTCCAAAATGAAGATAAAACTAGACAGAGATTTCTAGGTTTAGAAAACCATGCATGTTAAATTGCTTGCTTAGATAATATTTCTTTGATATTCAGTATAATGCTACTCCCCCCCTCTATAGTTAATATAGTTATAACAGAAGTGTTTAATTATATGGTTCTGCAGTTTATAAAAAACAAAAGAGCTGCAACAGTTTTATTAACAAAATAACTTTTAATTGGATTTCAAGGCTGTGAATTTAACACCTCTGGTAAAAGGATACATTCTAAAAAAATCAATTAAATTTTAGTTTAACTTTTTCTGCATGGTTGGGTCAAAGTGTGACCATCATGAACCTTTACAAAGTTTCTTTCAAAATAAACAACTTTTATTATTATTGTTGTCAATAAACTTTGCATCAGAATAATTCCAGTATCTATACTATCCAAGTTTTTATTTCAGAAGTATTTAAAAACCTTAATTTTCACTTCTCTTTCACATGATGCATCTGCACTCCAATCCTTACCTTACATATGTTATATCTTCCCCAATAGGCTTTCAGTATTCAACCAATTAGAAATACAAACTATATATTATAAAAAAACAACATAAAACTAAGCTTGTTTTGCTGAGATATCAATTAATCAAACTCAGAGAAGTCCCTTCCTACCTTGGCAAACTTTCATAGCAGTTATCTAATCACATGCACTTCTGATATTGACATGCTTACAATAGAAAGAGCATATCCTCCTCTACATATAGCTTATTAGATATGTTTCTTTGTTAGGTGTTAAGTACAGAGTTGGTCTTAGATCCCTTGTCTGTGATCTTTTTTGTTAAACTCCCAGTGGAATTTAAACCTATTTAAAGCTTATCTAGAAAACCAATTATATGTTAGTAGTTTAGGAACATTCTGTGCCTGAATTTTTTTTTAATGCTCCAAGATGTACATTTAAAAGCTATATGAATTATTGTTTGGAAATCCAAATGAGCAAAATTCCCCAAGGCTTACAAGCAGTATGTCATGAGTGCGAAGACTAAGAGATACATCTAATGAGCTTCCGAGTGTGATTTCTTGCTTTTGACTATCCTATGGTACAAAATACACATATTAAAATCACAAAATTAAAAATAAAACACTGAAAGATGAACATTTGAAATTGTGAAGATAATTAAATTGATGGTCTCCTGTTAAATTATGCATTAAAAAATAATTTATTTCATGTTTTTTAACTTTTTATTTTACTGTACATTGATGATTTCACAATAGTTAGTGTTAGGGTATAAAAATTAAGAAAATGTAAAGTTTTACCACATTCATTTAGAAAGTTCTAGAAGTAATGCAAATATGAAACTAAGATGAAAAGTATTTTTCTTCATTTGAAAATCACCTTTCATTGAGACTGACTTAAAATTCACAGAAAAATTGACAATAAAAATCTTCAGTTAAAAACCCTGATCTTGTGTGTACTGTTTTAACAGTAATGTTTATTAAAAGCCTGTCAAATTTTGTAAATATATAATTACTACTTTTAGATTTAAGAAACAATGTCATGATTACAAGGTAGTTCCAAGATGGGTCACATCAACAAACTTAGTATTGAAAATGATATTGTCTATTTTAATTTTTCCCATTACTTTCTATTGTCAAATATCTAGATCTAAAAATATAGGCCTGCAACACCTTTTCAGTTCCAGGCCCTGGTCATGCATTTTTTCATTCATGGAGAAAATCTATTTGTAAAGTTCCACTATGTTCCAATTAATATTAACAAAAATTTCAGAAATGTAGTAATGTCCCCTCCAATTATTAATTTTTGAAATATTAAAGATACAAATGTCAAAATCATTCACACTCCACATCAAGCAGTCACCTTGACGCTGAACATTTCTTTACTCTATGTATGTATGTGTGTGTGTGTGTGTGTGTG